AATCAACATCTAGATCAGTGTTTCTCAACCTGGGCGACTTGAAGATGTCTGGACTTCAACTCCCAGAATTCCCCAGCCAGCGAATGCTGGGAGTTGAAGTCCGGACATCTTCAAGTTGCCAAGGTTGAGAAATACTGATCTAGATTTATGTGAATGTTAGAAACCCTCAGAAAAACAACCCTGTTGGGCTGATGCAGGGCATATTGCCATTCCCCCTCCTTGTCTTCCTGTCACTCAACAGGAAGTTGTAGCAATGAAGGATATAGGCTGAACAGAGATAACTGCAACAGAAGTAACAGTTACGGAAAATAATAGGACAATCAAAGACAGCTGTCTCTTTGGGATGTTTGCTTTGCTTCACTTCTTTATTACATTAAATCATGAATTTCCTGCAATAACTTAAGACAATATGCATAGTACTCCCACAACCCTGTCTGATATGATAACTAAATTACAACAATTGGCTTAAAGCTTCAAAGCTGCATGGACACCAGAATCCAGATTGTCCCATCTTACTCCAGTATTTTAATTATTATGCTACTTTTTCACTAAATATTAGCAAAGCAAATTCTCTTCTCATTGTATTAGGACTGGTATTTTGGTTACTTGTTTTACCTCAAAGGATAGCCACTAGCATATGGGAGGTGAAAAAGGAAGTATAAATTTTGCTTGGGTAAGTTATGCTGCCTCTCAGTGCAGGCAAGCTTAAAAATTATGTGATATATGGAAAAATATATCAGCTCAGTTAGAGTAGGGGCTTGGAAAAACACATATATGCATGTATCATTTACTTGACTATGTGGATATTGCAAATGAGAATAACATAAGGTTTGTAGTGCTCCAAATTCAATTCCACAAAGAAATTTTCCAGAGATCATGAAGTTATGCAGGATCAGATCTTATGCTTGCCATAAGAAGATATAGACAGGTAGCTTCAAAACATCTTATTTGAAATCAGATCTGAGGCATTATATTTTCCTACAATGGGCAGTGTAGTACTTTTAAGTATAGTCTTTAAAAATGTTAGTGATTCTGAGATAATGAAGAAAATGTTACATTCCTTCTCTTCCTTTTATTTTGATTTTTCCTGTATAATTTATATAATTTGGCCATAGTTTCCAAGTCTCAGCATCCAAACATATTGGTTAGATTCCTATGAACTTGTACAGAGCCCTTTTTCACAAAATGTTCTCCTTAACTCTACAGATAGAGTTCGCTGCTTCTGTCTAAATTTCTTGACACTTATAATTAATTAATTATATCTGCCATGCTCTCTTTAAGAATTGCAAGCTTAATAAAAGGGATTTGTGGGTGCTATATTTAGGACATTTAAATGCTGTCTTAAAATAAATTAGAAATCAGAACATGGTCCATTCCTGCAAAGGGGTTGAAGTGATAGTTGTAATGCTGTTGATTGAAGTTAGGAAATATTTTAACACCACCTCTGATGTTAAAGGGCTTACACAAATTAACACCACAGAAACCTAAACAAATATCTTTTACATCCTACCAATTTACCATTCCCATTAAATGTCCTTCTCGTTCTCCGTATTATGTTTCATCTCTTCTGTTTCATTTGAGTAACATCCTGCCATTTTTGCAACATACATTCTCACGTACTCATGTCTCTTTTTTTTCTTGTGTTGACATCTCTTCATTTCTTTCTTCAACTCCAAATAGCAGTTTACTATATAATTAAATCTATACTAATGTTTTTCTACTGTCCCTATTTGTAATCCATTTGATATGATCATGCATTTTGTAGAACTGCTCCATTCCGCTCAGGAAGGCCTACAACAGATGGTTGTTTGATCCCCTGATAAGGACTGTCACACCCAAAGGCCTCTGAGGAAGGACAAGGATTCTCTAGCCCAGATGGTCAAAGTAGCTGTGAACTGGCATGATATTTCTCTTTTTCTCCTCCTAGGCTAACTACCAACAGAATAATGAAATGGTATCTAGAATAAAATGGACCTTTCTTGATTAAAAGTGTCCCTTTAACTATGCACTTAGTAATAATACTGCTAAAGGTATAAAATTATCAGAAAGAGAGGCTTCTTTGAGGCAGTAACTCATTAATTTTTTCATGTTGAATAGCAAGCTGTTGGACATTTGGGAATTGAGTTTTAAAGGTTTAGTTTGCCTGAGCTAATATACTGTACATGGGTCAATGTTTAAGAAACACAAATGGGATTATAATTGGATTAAATGGAAGAACTGCTCATTTACATAAATGACCGAGCAAGCTCTCCAACCTCCAAGTAATAAGCAGGACTAGTCAGGCACTGATCTCCAGCAAATCCCTTTCTGTAGAATGACAAGTAACAGACTAAAGCATCTTACTGTATGTAATAATAAAAAGGCATTGGACAATAATAGCAATGTTAATTGGCACTTCCTGAAAAGACTAAAGCTTTTTGTGAGGAAGACTTATTGTATAGAGAACCTTATGAGGATTTATACTATATGTTAGACTGTTTATTTAAATGTTTAAATGGATCATACAATTCCCAAAGAAAACTGTTCTCACATTGAATCCTCCTAAGACATAAATTAATTTTAATTTTATTGTTGTAAACCCCCTAGAGTATCCCCATGGCTAAAAAGGTGGCACATAAATTTAACAAACAAATAAATAATGATAGAAGCTACCCTTATGGGATTAAATTCATACTTATTATATCATACACTTATTGTCAAGTGTCAGTGATAAAAGCCAATAACTCAGCCTTTGCCAATTTGATCATCTAAGCTGTAAAATTTAGGAATAATGTAAATTGTGAAATGTAAATCTGGAAGATAAATAGATCGCAGAAGGCTGTAATGGGTAAGCTCTTTATAGAATATTATGAGTTTCTCAGGTATTATTTTTAGATTATTTATGTTTGTAATTATTCATTGGGTTTTTATTCTTTTTTAGGAATCATCTATATGAGATGGGTGGACATTTGAAACAAATAAACAAACAATCCAATTATGCAATATTCTGGAGAATTACACAAGTTTCAAGTGTTAGCATTTGAAAAATTCATGGTGATTAATTGATTAGGAATTCTGATTTCTAAGATCGACCAGATTTATCTTACTATTCATTCTGCTCAAATACATTTGCTACATGAGCTCAATTTGTTTTAGAAAAAAATGCCTACTTGGAGTAGACTGTAATATAATTTTCTATGTTTTAAAATTATTTAATACATGTTTAAAGCTATTTTATCATTTGGAAAGAGGAAGGAAAACATGCTGTATGTAATTATACAAAAAAGAAGGTTTTTCTAAGTAGAATGTTGAAGGTTTATACCACAAAACAGAGGTGAAATCCAGCAGATTCTGACAGGTTCTGGAGAACCAGTAATGGAAATTCTGAGTAGTTCGGAGAACCAGTAGTGGAAATTTTGAGAAGTTCAGAGAACCGTCAAATGCCACCTCTGGTTGGCCCCAGAGTGATGTGGGAATGGAGATTTTTCAGTATCCTTCCCCTGGAGTGGGGTGGGAATAGAGATTTTGCAGTATCCTTCCCCTGCCACACCCACCAAGTCACACCCACCAAGCCATGCCCACCAAGCTACACCATGCCCACTAAACCACACCCACGGAACCGGTAGTAAAATTTCACCACTGCCACAAAGCCTTGGATGATTTCTAGACATTTATTTCAGACAAAAATCCAACAAAAACAATTGACAATCAAGCATGTTCTCCAGCTGATTGAAGAAAATAATGTTCTTATCAGGCCTTTTATCTCTGCATTCAACTTTAATTGAAGAAAGCTTTCATCTGTTCTTGGCATCACTTCTGTGGGATTCTTCTGAACAAGATAATTGCCTACATTTTGTCAAATTTTGACAAAATTACCTTGTGATACATCCATGAACTTGCTAAAAGAACCATTAACTATAAATATACACACTCAATAAACAGTGCAATTTAAGCCACATTTGGATTAACAATTGCCACATAGAATAATTGGAAATAATTAGTGATTTTTTTTATTTCCCTATTTCTCTTTTCTTACTATTCTTTTAGTCTTTTCTAGAAAATTGTACCTATTTCCAACATTCTTCCATCATTGTTTTTTAACTTTTAATCCTGATAACTTTCCAAATAATATTAGCATACCAATTTGTCTCTGTACTTCTTCTGATGTATACCCTCAGAAACACTATACTCACAAAGAATTGTGCCTTTTTTCATTCTTAAGTAAAGCCACTCTTTTCACTGTCATGAAACCATCCAGATTTCTGTAAACCAGATAGCCTTCTACCATATGAACAGTAATAGCTATTTTATGGTCTCTAGTGGATGTCTAGAAATTTTGTACATTTTAACATTTAGTTGAATATAGTATCTCTTTATAAATTTATAAATTCTAATCCAGCAGGATTGTTCATGTGCAATAGTAACAACAGTATCTAGCAATGTCTTTGTGCATCCCTCTCTTTATGTCATAATACAACAAGATAGTTGTTACATAATATTGATACTTGTATTTTTACAGTAATGTAATTTTATTTCTTTTTCTTTTTTTAAGTCTGCCAAGAAGCTATTTGGGAAGCCTTCAAAATCTTCTTGGACAGACTCCCAGGACAAGAAGAATATCAAAAGTGGCTAAATGAATGTGAAGCAGGAACTGTGAATATATTTGAAATGGGCACCAATTTTAGTCAATCTGAAGAATATCAAAGCCTCATAGCAAAGGTAAAAGATACAGAGTTTAAGAGAATATCAGTTGGACATAGTTTCAATTATAGTGAAGATAAGACTATTGCTATATGATGAAAAAGGATGTACATTTTTGAAACTGAAACCTTTTCAATTATTCTGTTATTTTATTCTATTTCTTATTCATTATTCTATTAAACCAGTTACTGTTTACTATGTCATACTGGACATGATAAAAATAATTTCAGAGTTCTCAGGCTCTGGGAAATTAGCACCTGACATCTAATGTGAAGTATCTCTTAAAATCTATTCTTTTTCATTTTTATATTTTTAGTACTTATTTGATATGCCTAAAATTACTTTGGATGTCATCTTGCAAATATCAAATAACAAATGTTGGAAAATAAATTGTGAAGAAAGAAACTTTTAAATATATTTCAGCTTTGATCACAAGAAAGCTGAGAAATCTTTATTAATATTTATTATAGTCATTAACCAAAACAAAGCAAATATAACTAAACACAGAGAACGTTTTTAGTGCTTTTTGAGCTTGGTTGTTTGCAGATATTTCATTACCCAGTAAGATAACATAATCAGTGAAAGTGAGCGTGGGATGTGCTGTGCTCACTATTTATTTACAATAGCACTACTGTATATAAATAGAGAGCAAACCTATACTCAGTCATAGTGATAATGTTACCTAGTTGGGTAATGAAACATCAGCAAGCAATCAAACTTAGGCAACGCTAGCATAAATGTGTATATTTTCTTCTATTGGTATAAATACATAGGCTAGGCATATAGCATATATGTACCCTTGATATTAAACTGAATATCAAGGGTAGATATAATAGAGAAAGATAAGACTAATGAATCAGAATAATAAAAAAATAAAGTTATAATGAAACTGAAACTTTAAGGTAAGTGCCACTAAATAAAACATCTAATCTGTATATCTAAACATCTAAATAAAGCTAAAGACAATGTTCCGTGCACCTTCGGCATTTAGTCATGTCAGTGGTGGGTTGCAGGCGGTATGCCCCGGTACCGGAGCCTGCCCAGAGCACCAGATACCATTCTGGTACGGTGCTCCGGAGGGCCCACCTGCCTGCTCCTTACCTGTCCTTTAAAGTCTTCGGCACTTCTGTGCACACGCATGGCGCGTACAGAGCCTGCGCGATGCTCCACCAAGTAGGTGGAGTGTCGCAGAGGCTTGCGGAGGTGTCGCTGGAAAGTAAGATGCATGTGTGCTGCGCGCGTGTGCACACCGCACACATTCATGTGGAGGACATCGGGCCCCATTGCAACCAGTACGGAACCCAACACTGAGTCAAGCCCACATGACCATGGAGACGTCTTTGGACAGTGCTTTGGCTTTGAAATGGAGCTCTTTGGCT